GGAGGGAATTGGGTGAATTAGTCTGTAAACATATTATCTGATCCACACTCCGGAGCAGATGGTGGCGGTAATGCACCAATTACGCTGGATGCCAACCGCCGTTAAACATTAAGAAGAAAAAGAAGAAGACGACAATGTGGGAAGCAGTTCCTGTTCCGCCGAAAAACAGAAAAGCTCTGAAGCCAGAAGACAGAAAGGACAAAAACAAGCGTAAACATTGGCAAGGCATATAAGGTGGAAAGAGTTCATGACTGAGAAAATCCCGAGTAGAAAACTCCAAGCTACTTCTTTTTTTAATTGGACAGGTAAGGGAAATGATTCTTGTGTAAACCACTCTCTAAACTCACAAGTATCAGTGTAAAAGATGATCATGCTGCTCCACGTCGATAGATGAAAGTGTAGCAACTTTAACCATTTTGGTATGGGTATATAAAGTACACGAATTATAAGTAGCCTATAATTGAAGAGTTCAGATGCAAAAGCCTCTAAGTGCCTTTTGAAATGTAGTTCTAAAATGAGCATTTTTTTCTCAGGCTCATATGTTTATGTTCATTTATTTCACTTTAATGGCAATGAAAAGATCCTATTTATTGCTATTAAAGTGAAATTACCGAACCTACACATTGGAGCCTGATAAAAAAAATGCTCATTTTAACAGCACTTAGAGGCTTTTGCATCTGAACTCTTCAATTATATACTTATTTTTGGAGAGATTCTTTGCAGAGTGTTAAGCCCGGAACACACCAAGCCGACGGTCGGCCGTCGGGCAGTTTTTGTTCGTCAGCCGACTAAGTTTTCACAGTGTGTTCCACACCTTCGGCTAAAGTTGGTCCTCGTCGGCTTTTTTTCAGCCGATTCGACATGTTGAATCGTGTCGGTGCTCGGCGGTCAGTCGGGCCATCTGATCATTCTGATTGGATGTTCAGCTGGCGAACGAGTGCACAAGAAAAAAAAAACTTCTTACGCAGGAGCAGAACAGACGTGCTACTTGGCCGTCGGGTGTCGAGCGTCAGCTTGGTGTGTCAGGGCAGCTTTGGACCAAGACGCTGCCGATGTGAGCTGACCCCGCAGTCTGATTTCGTCGCCACTGGTTCGTCGGCATCGGCTTGGTGTGTTCCGGGCTTTAAACGGGTGCACAAAAAACCATGTGGGTTTACAGTGCTTGATCTTTAGGCTCCGTTGCTTAAAGGGGTCATATGATGCGATTTCTAGTTTTCCTTTCTCTTTGGAGTGTTACAAGCTGTTCGTGAATAGATAAGATCTAGGGCTGCACGATAAATCGAAATGGAATCAAGATTGCGATTCGAAAGAAGCTGCGATTGTCATACGTATCTTTCAGTGAAGCACGGTTCTGTGTTCAGCAGTAAATCTCCATCCAAAGGCCAGAGGGCGCTCTCGCGCTGAAACTCCAAATACGCCTCGCAGAAGAAACCCAGAAATCGCTGCAGCTGAATAAACAGAAGATTCAACTGCTTTCATTGGTTCAACGTGACTAATAAACACACGACTACGGCAATATACGGTTTATCTGAGTTCTTATTATTATAATTTTCATTAAAATAAAGTATATTTATAATGCAATGCCTTTATCACTGCTTAAATACTATGAAATATGTTGCGTGCCTTATTCTGTGTAAGAAGCCACATCATCTCACAGAAGGATTTATTTCAAACACTCGCCTGGGAGAGTAGACTACAATGCCGGCTGTTCTGACTCACAGTTCTGTAAGTACGTTTTCATATTTAAAGGATTTGCCACTGATGATTCAAATGCGAGTTTTGAGCAGTGTAGAGTAGCGCTTGTTGTTTGTCATTCATTTCTCCGATCACAAATTCAGACATGGTTTTATGTTTTCAGATGGAGCGATGCAACGCGTATGCAACGCGTAAAAAGACAGTATAAGTAATTATAATCAGTAATTATGTCCCCACTGGATGCAACAAATGTCTCGTTTATAATTGGTTTTTATTGGTTTTGTCTCGTCATGCCGGGACATGGCATCACAGTATGGTGAGGGGCGTAACATTTCCGTCACACGCTTGAGGTATTCGGCCAATCACAACGCACTGGATTGCTGGCCAATCATAGCACACCTTGCTTTTCAGACCGATGAGCTTTGTAAAAATAGACGCGTTTCAGAAAGGCGGGGCATAGAGGAGAAACAATAATGTACAGTATGTGGATAATAATGTGTTTTTTAAACCTTAAATCACATAAACACATTTCAGTACACCAAATACACCAAATAATGTTCTTTTTAGCAACATCATATGACCCCTTTAATATTCTCCACACAGCAACATTCATATGTGTTTAGTCAGCTATGCATAAGCCTATGTAAAATACGGGATAAATCGAATGCGCATTGATTTGATACGGGACGCATCATTTTACCTTTATATGGGACAATACTGTATTTTACAGGATAGATGGCACTGTGACCTCAGGATGCCTAGTGACATGAAATCCTGTCAGATTTGACTATAAACCAAACAAGACAAAGCCAAATGTTGTGGTTTTAATTGGTCTGTTGTATGGGACCATTTTGAGAACTTGGAAAACAACATTGTGAGGTGGATGATTTGTTATCAACAACTGCCATATAACACCTCAATGTTGTGACACTTGTGCTGCAAACACCCTTAAGTAGATGATGGGCATACATCTGTGGTGGCGGTGAAGCATCTGGTGTACATAGACAAGGTGTGTATAAAATCCATCACATTAAATCTTCTGGGCCTCTAACTGAAAAAACTGCATACAATTTTAAACCCTCAAAGCCCAAAACGTTTTGACCAGCAGATGTCGCCAGAGTGTGGTGTTTCTAATGCTTCAAAACAGTGTATCATTTTGCAAAGCAGTTGGTTCAGTTGAATCACAGCTTTGAAAAAGGTTTGTTTCTCCCATCTCTACCAGTCTGACAGCAACAATTCAAAGAGGTTGTGGCCAGTGTGAGTGGAATCTGTGAGGAATTCACCTGCCCTCTTCCTCACTCACAAAGAGCAAGTGTTCTGGAGAGAGGGTGGGCAGGGGAGCGCCAATGATCCTCTCAGTAGTCTGGATTGTCCGCTGTAGACTTCTGATGTCTCATTTGGTAGCTGAACCAAACCAGCTAGTTGTAGATGAACACAGAACAGACTCAGTGATGGCCGAGTAGCATTGGGTGAGCAGCTCCTGGGGCAGGTTGAACTTTATTTGGTAAAGAAAGTACAATCTCTGCTGGGCCTTTTTCACAATGAACTCTCACTTCAGGTCCTGCGAGATGGCAGAGCCCAGGAACCTGAAGGACTGTCTTGCAACTACAACGTTGTCCATGATGGTGCTGGGAGGTTTCTCTCGAAGCTTCTCCACATTTTCACCACATTAGTCTATGAGAGAGAAGACTGACTGACCACATTTTGTTTGCATAAAATCAAAATGATCCAGATTCTCCTGTAAATGTGTTCTTGTGAAGCAAGAGGTCAGAGAATCTGTGACTTTGTGTCTGTCTCTGGAAGACAACGACAGTGAGCTGTGACTTTGAGTACAGTGCACATACGGGGACGTGGTGATGGAAATAAAGTGAGATGGCAGGAAAAAATCTATGTCAGCGCTTTTGCGTGCACTCACAAAACTTCTGCTTTTTCTCAGAAAAGTATATTTTCCCCCATGGAAAAATTTGTGTTCTCTTGCAAAAAGTTCTGTGAGCAGTGTTGCCAGATTGGATGGACGATTTCCAGCCCAAAAGCTCACAAAAACTCGCCCAAAAACCGCCCAAAACTTTAACTGTCAAAATAATGTGATGGAATATGTAAATTAAGGAGTTAAAATGGCCCTTATTAACCTTGAAACAAAATAATGACGTCAAAATAATATAACATTAGATAAATATCCCAGGTAAACGGATCAAATCGGGGCAAATAGCCTACATTAAAGAGAATTAGGCTACCGAACATGAATAAAATATGAAAGCAGACAATGTCAAAACGGCAATCAAGAAATTAACCGATATCCTCGAAACAACACATGCATCATTTTCAATGTCAGCAGTCAGAATAACCCAATTTAAATGCAAAACGTGCCCAATATAAGTAATAGGAAAAAGCAGCGTAATTAGCAGGTATTTCACACTTGTTCATGCACACACTATGACAGTCAAAACGGTGTCATTCATTGAAACATACTGCATTATAATCCGACAATTAAAAAATAAAATAAAAACAACAATAATGCGCTTACCTTCGTGTCGCTGTATAATTTTACACAGAACTAGAGAAAGCCTCTTGTTAAATTCCTATTGTAGAACATAATACAGAACTTTGCACAGTCAAAACTAATCAAGTCTAGCAGTTTTCAAGGATTTATCAATCTGGACCGTTTAAAAGAT